TTATTCACAGTGCTCTGCCATCTGCCGTCAGCTTGACTCTCTTCGGATAGTTGTTTGTGGCACCTGTCGTTGCTGTCAGACTACTCGGTCTGATCTGGAGTTTCAGCGGGTCCATGAGTTCTTATCTCGTCTCCGCTCTGAGTTTGAGCCGCGACGTGCTCACTTGCTTGCTCGTGGCCGTGTTCCTATCTCGGAGGTGCTTGCTGAGCTTCGTGCTGAAGAGACCCGCCTTCGCTCTGCGGGTTTGCTGGTGGTCCCGTCTGTGTTGGCTGCTCGGGCTCCTGTGTCATCAGCTCGACTCACCGCTCCACCGCTCCTTCCCACACCTTCCGGGGGGGGGGGTGGGTCGCCCTGCTTATATTGAGAGGGGCACATCGCGCCGTGACACCGTCTGTGGTTACTGCTCCCAGCCAGGTCACCCAGAGTCTGATTGTCGCCAGAAGAAGCGAGACCAGAGGCGCTCCTCCTCCAGTGGGCCTCCTCTGTCTTCCTCGACTCCGTCACTCACTGACCAGGACATTATTCGCCTCAAGCGTCTTCTTGCTTCATCGGGTTCCTCGTCGACTGGCTCTGCTGCTGCTGTGACAACATCCTCTTCCTCATCATCACCGGCATCTACGCAGTCAGGTACATCCTCGTGGGTTCTGGATTCTGGTGCCTCCTTTCATATGTCTTCTGATTCTTCCGCGTTGTCTTCTCTCCGACCTCTTGATTCGCCTGTTAATGTTCTTACTGCCGATGGCACATCTCTTCCTGTTGCTAGTCGTGGTATTCTTTCCACTCCCTCCTTCTCTGTTCCGAGTGTTTCACATGTTCCTCGTCTTACCATGAATCTTTTTTCCGCTGCCCAACTTACTGATTCTAGTTGTCGTGTCATTCTTGACACCGACTCTTGCTCCATTCAGGATCATCGCACCAAGGCTTTGGTTGGTGCTGGCCCTCGACGCCGTGAGTCAGAGGGCCTTTGGGAGGTTGACTGGCTTTGTGTTCCTTCCGCTGCCACCACTTCTGCCAGCTCTCATGCTCTTGCTGCCTCTTCGTCTGCGTCCTTCCAGCAGTGGCATCATCGCCTTGGTCACATCTGTGGCTCTCGCTTGTCTTCTTTAGTCCGTCAGGGCCTCTTAGGGTCTGTATCTGGAGATGTCTCCTTACATTGTAATGGTTGCAGACTTGGCAAACAGACTCAGTTACCTTATCCTACCAGTGAGTCTGTATCTCAGCGTCCTTTTGACTTAGTTCATTCTGATGTCTGGGGTCCTGCTCCCTTTGATTCGAAAGGTGTTCATCGCTATTACGTTTTGTTTATTGATGATTTCTCTCGCTACACTTGGCTCTACTTCATGAAATCTCGTAGCGAGGTTCTCCCTATATACAAACGTTTTGCTGCCATGGCTCACACCCAGTTCGCCACGCCCATTCGCACTTTTCGTGCTGACTCCGCTGGAGAGTATATCTCTCAGCTGTTGCGTGGCTTTCTCGCGGAACAGGGTACTCTTGCCCAGTTCTCGTGTCCTGGTGCTCATGCTCAGAATGGCGTTGCCGAACGCAAGCATCGTCATTTGCTTGAGACGGCTCATGCGCTGATGATTGCTGCTTCTCTTCCACCCCATTTTTGGGCTAAGACTGTTTCCGCATCCATCTATCTCATCAACATTCAGCCCTCGTCTGCTCTGCAGGGTGCTATTCCTATGGAGTGTCTCACTGGTCGCTCTCCTTACTACTCTGCTCTTCGTATGTTTGGATGCGTCTGCTATGTTCTTCTTGCCCCCCGAGAACGCACCAAGCTGACTGCTCAGTCGGTTGAGTGTGTCTTCCTTGGCTACAGTGATGAGCACAAGGGATATCGATGTTGGGATCCTGTAGGTCGTCGCTTACGCATCTCGCATGATGTGACTTTTGACGAGTCTCATTCTTACTACCCACATTCTTCTTCCTCGAGTTTCTCGGTGGACGAGCTTTCTTTTCTTCTCCTTCCCGATACACCCTGCTATGTGCCTCCTGTGTCACCTCCTTCTCTGGCACCTCTCATTCCTTCTCATCCACCACCGACCCCGTCTTCTCCATCCTCCTCCTCCACCTCTCCTCCACCATCTCCAGTCCGTCACCCTCTCTCCCCGTTTCCTCTTCACTATACTTGTCGATCTCGTCCTGAGGATGTCTCCCCTGACGAGCCTTCCACCTCTGCTGCACCTCCTCCCACGCCTCCCCCGGTTCACAACCTCTGTGCTCGGCCTCGCCCTCCACCTGATCGCTACTCCCCTGATCGGTACGGCCTCTCTGTTATTGTTGAGCCCACTTCCTATCGGACTGCCATGACTCAGCCTGAATGGCAGCTTGCGATGGCTGAAGAGCTTGCTGCTCTTGAGCGCTCTGGCACATGGGATCTGGTTCCCCTTCCTTCCGGTGTTCGTCCCATCACCTGCAAGTGGGTCTACAAGATTAAGACTCGCTCCGATGGTTCTCTTGAGCGCTACAAAGCTCGTCTTGTGGCCCGTGGTTTTCAGCAGGAGCAGGGGCGAGATTATGATGAGACATTCGCTCCTGTGGCCCACATGACCACTGTCCGCACTCTTCTTGCTGTGGCTTCTGTTCGTCAGTGGTCTATCTCTCAACTTGATGTTCAGAATGCTTTTCTCAATGGCGAGTTGCGTGAGGAGGTTTTTATGCAGCCACCACTGGGGTACTATGCTCCTGATGGTATGGTCTGTCGACTTCGCCGCTCCCTATATGGTCTCAAACAGGCCCCTCGCGCCTGGTTTGAGCGTTTCGCCTCTGTGGTGACTGCGCCTGGCTTCTTGCCCAGTGATCATGATCCTGCGTTGTTTGTTCACACGTCTCCTCGTGGTCGGACTCTTCTCCTTCTCTATGTTGATGACATGATCATCACTGGTGACGGCTCTGAGTACATTGCCTTTGTTAAGGCTCGTCTTCGAGACCAGTTCCTCATGACTGATCTTGGTCCACTTCGCTATTTTCTTGGGATTGAGATCTCCTCGACCCCTGATGGCTTCTACATCTCCCAAGAAAAATATATTCAGGATCTTCTTACTCGCGCTGCTCTTGGTGATGAGCGCCCCGTTGTCACTCCTATGGAGCTCAACGTTCAGCTTCGTGCATCTGATGGTGACCCTCTTCCTAATCCCACTCGCTACCGTCACCTCGTTGGCAGCCTTGTCTATCTTGCTGTTACGCGTCCTGACATCTCCTATCCTGTCCACATCCTGAGTCAATTTGTGTCAGCTCCCACCTCTGTCCACTATAGTCACCTCCTCCGTGTCCTACGATATCTTCGTGGCACGATCTCTCAGCGCCTTTTCTTTCCCCGCTCCAGCTCTCTTGAGCTCCAGGCCTACTCTGATGCTACCTGGGCTAGTGATCCCTCTGATCGACGCTCGCTGTCTGCTTACTGTGTCTTCCTTGGTGGCTCTCTTATTGCCTGGAAGACAAAGAAACAGACTGCAGTTTCTCGCTCAAGTACAGAGGCTAAGTTGCGAGCCATGGCTATGTTGACGGCTGAGGTGATCTGGTTACGGTGGTTACTTGAGGATTTTGGTGTGTCTTCTACTACCTCAACTCCTCTCCTGTCCGACAGTACCGGTGCCATCAGTATTGCGCGTGACCCGGTGAAGCATGAGCTCACCAAGCACATCGGTGTGGATGCCCACTTTGTGCGTGCTGCTGTGCAGGATCAGACTCTTGCTCTTCACTATGTGCCTTCCGAGTTACAGTTGGCGGACTTCTTCACCAAGGCACAAACTCGAGCACAACATAGTTTTCTTCTCTCCAAACTCAGTGTTGTTGATCCACCATGAGTTTGAGGGGGGGGGGGGTGTTAGATGTGTATAGGCACTTCTCGTATATCCCCAATGTATAAGGGGTTTCTCTGCACTTTGACACACATGTATATGTATTGGCCTATGGCTCATTCCTAACATGTGTGACTTGGCTGGCGTGCGTGCGTGTATGTAGTGGGTTAGCTAGTGTGTGCTTGCGTGCTGTTAGAGGGTGTTGGGTGTGTGTGTGCATCGGGTATAAGAACCCCCTCTTGTATTGCTTGTAGTTGCGTCGGTTTGTTGCCGCGCCATGGTGACGGTATGTGCCGAGCCGAGGGGGAGAGGCCTAAGGAAGATGTAGTCTCCGTTGGGACCCTGGTATGCTCCCGGTTGATGTGAGAGTTCTTCCGGGGTTGTGCTGCGTGTGTGCGTGTGTACCTCTATGTATGTGTGTTTGAGTAGTTGAGTTGAATAGAAGCCAACATACAGGCCGTTCGGCGGCCGGGGCATTCGTCGCCAAAAAATTTTGTTCATCTTCTTCTACCTTCGTCCGGCGTTCGTCGATGGAGGGCGGTTCGGCGCATGTCACCGGTGGGGTTGTCCCAACATCATATACACGCGCATACATTCACCCCTATGAACGCACACACGCACACCCTACCCCTATGAGCACCTCCGAAAGACTGAGCCGGCATATCATATTGAAATTTACCAACTCACCGAAGGCACCTCGTCGTTGACGGGAACGTCTCCTCCCACTGAATGCGCATCGCCGGAAATCCTGAAATAAATCCAGGAATAAATGCGAGCACCAGGATTTGAACCCTGATGGGCCGTGGATACCATAGTCCCTCTAACCATCCAACCACAGGTATTGTTGATTAGATATAATGGCTGATAGCTTTCTACTCTTTTAACTAAAGGTTGGATGTTTATGATTAACGTGAGATTTTCTAGCTATTTTCTTTATTTTTATCCGTACTTTTCTTTTAGTTTATAATAGATAGATAGATTTAGAAAAATAAAACCTGGTTATGTAGTCTTCAGTGACACATGAACTAACGTCCTAAAAATATCACACAGGTACTTAATCGTGATTGATGACATATGGGGTGAAGATGCATGGGAAATTATCAAGTGCGCTTTCACTGAAAATGATCTCGGTAGTCGAGTAATAACGACAACCCGCATAACCAGTGTCTCTCTAGTGGTGATATTATTCATAAGATGAAATCTCTTGATGATGATAACTCCAGAAGGCGCTTCTACAAAAGAATATTCCCTCGAGAAAGTGGATGCCCCGTTGAACTGGAGCAAGTATCAGAAGAAATTTTGAAGAAATGTGGTGGCGTGGCACTAGCCATCATTACTATAGCAAGCCTCTTGGCTGGCAATGATCAACAGATAAAGTCAAAGGATCAATGGGACAAAATACTTGGTTCAATTGGTCGTGGACTTGCAGAAGGTCGTACTGTGGAGGATATGAAGAGAATACTATCCTTTAGTTATTACGATTTACCTTCTCATTTAAAGACATGTTTACTATATCTGAGTATATTCCCTGAAGATTCTTGGATAAATAGAGACCGATTGATATGCAGGTGGATAGCTGAAGGCTTTATCCAAGGTGGAGACCAAGGAATTAGACTATTTGAGCTTGGAGAGAGATACTTCAGTGAGCTATTAAATAGAAACTTGATTCAGTCAGGATATGATAATGAAGGCAGGCTGATATATTGCCATGTACATGATATGGTACTTGATCTCATATGTTCTCTATCAAGTGAAGACAACTTCGTTACTATATTCGATGGTACTAAGCAAAGCAAAATGAATTCGGATAGCTTGGTTCGCAGGTTATCCTTTCAGAATAACATGTCAGAACCCAACACACATTGGGTCAATGCCACAAGTATGTCAAAGTTGAGGTCAATTACTCTGTTTAGAACTGATGTTTTATGATTCAGACTCTTTCCAGCTTTGAACTTCTGCGTGTATTGGATTTACAAGGGTGCGACCTTAGGGAAAGTGGCAACCACATTGATCTTAGATGTGTTGGGAAATTATTACATCTGAGGTACCTAGGGTTACAAGGTACATATCTTGATGTTCTCCCCATGGAAATTGGAAAGCTACAATTTTTGCAAACACTGGACTTGAGAACGTTTGGATCAATGGAGGTGCCATCAAGTGTTGTTCGGTTAGGACATTTGATGTGCCTATATGTTTATCCAAATATGAGATTGCCAGATGGGATAGGAAACTTGGTGTCCATAGAAGAGCTCAAGTTTGTTAAGGTGTGTGGTACTGATGAGATTGAGAAAGAGCTAGGGAAGCTGGTGGAGCTGAGGGTGCTTCTCCTTTTGTGGGAGGCAGAAGAAGACGAGAGAGTGTGTGAATCTTTGTTGGTATCCCTTGGCAATCTGCAGAAATTGTGTAGTCTAAGTATTTCTAATTGGGGGGCTGCAAGGCTCGATGTCAGCTGGGACGGCTGGCTACCCCCTCCACACCTCCAGTCCTCCACACATTTGAGTTCAATTTTTGTACCTCGACATTGCCTAGATGGGTCAACTCATCGTTGTTCCCCGTCCTCTCCTACTTGGAACTAAGAGTGGATAAATTGAGGCCAGAGGTCGACATTCAAATCCTTGGGAAGTTGCCAACTCTTCTTTCTCTATTTCTGGGAACTAAACTTCAATTGACTCCCGTCGAAAGCTTCATCATTGACGATAATGCATTCCCTTGCCTGAGAAGGTGCAAATTTAGTGGGTTTGAGACGGGGCCATCTATGTTTCCGCGAGGATCTATGCCGAGGCTTGAATACCTTAGCTTCGATGTCCGAGCGGCGCGCATTGTTAATGGTGACTTGGATTTCGGCATGGGGCATCTCCCTTCTCTCCAGGAAGTCAACATTTGTCTTTGGTCGGAGGAGTACCGCTCGCCAGTAGTGCTGAAAGCATGTGATATGCTGGAGCTCACATTGGCCTCCCATCAAAACCATCCAAAGCTTCTCTCTCAGGATTGGAGTCGTAAGTCTTCTCTCTCACACACCTAGGCGTCTACAGACTTTGACATAATTAATTAGCTTGCTTAATTCTTTCAGACCCACGAATGCAAATTAATGCTGATTCTTTTTTCTTTGTTTCAAAGGTTTACCGGAGGATCTGGAAGAAGAGGGGCCTGCAGCAGTGGTCACCGTGAATGACCGAGAAGGCGAGCCAATTGTGCTGTAGAACCAATCCTACTCATTCAAATCCGCAGGTAAGCAGCCACTACCAGCTCATCCCCGTCCATATGCACATTACTAGATTTGCCAACTGATTTGTGCTCTCCGGCCGTCTTGATTTCTGTAAAGAATTGAAATTACAACCATCTTATAAGAAACCTGACATGACAAATCGTGCCTAAGAGTAAGGAGTAAACACAATAGGAAAGTTTTACATTATACTCTCTCCGTTCTAAAATAAGTGTCTCAACCTTAGTACAAAGTTAAGACATTTATTTTGGGACGGAAAGTTAGCAAAGTTGAGATACTTATTTTGG